TCCATTTGATCCCCAGCAAGCCACCATAACTTATAAATTGTGTTCCATTTGATCCCCAGCAAGCCACCATAACTTATAAATTGTGTTCCATTTGATCCCCAGCAAGCCACCATAACTTATAAATTGTGTTCCATTTGATCCCCAGCAAGCCACCATAACTTATAAATTGTTTCCATTTGATCCCCAGCAAGCCACCATAACTTATAAATTGTGTTCCATTTGATCCCCAGCAAGCCACCATAACTTATAAATTGTGTTCCATTTGATCCCCAGCAAGCCACCATAACTTATAAATTGTGTTCCATTTGATCCCCAGCAAGCCACCATAACTTATAAATTGTGTTCCATTTGATCCCCAGCAAGCCACCATAACTTATAAATTGTGTTCCATTTGATCCCCAGCAAGCCACCATAACTTATAAATTGTGTTCCATTTGATCCCCAGCAAGCCACCATAACTTATAAATTGTGTTCCATTTGATCCCCAGCAAGCCACCATAACTTATAAATTGTGTTCCATTTGATCCCCAGCAAGCCACCATAACTTATAAATTGTGTTCCATTTGATCCCCAGCAAGCCACCATAACTTATAAATTGTGTTCCATATGATCCCCAGCAAGCCACCATAACTTATAAATTGTGTTCCATATGATCTCTAACAAGCCACCATAACTTATAAATTGTGTTCCATATGATCCCCAACAAGCCACCATAACTTATAAATTGTGTTCCATATGATCTCCAACAAGCCACCATAACTTATAAATTGTGTTCCATATGATCTCCAACAAGCCACCATAACTTATAAATTGTGTTCCATATGATCTCCAACAAGCCACCATAACTTATAAATTGTGTTCCATATGATCCCCAACAAGCCACCATAACTTATAAATTGTGTTCCATATGATCCCCAACAAGCCACCATAACTTATAAATTGTGTTCCATATGATCCCCAACTAGCCACCATAACTTATAAATTGTGTTCCATATGATCTCCAACAAGCCACGATAACTTATAAATTGTGTTCCATATGATCCCCAACAAGCCCCCATAACTTATAAATTGTGTTCCATACGATCCCCAACAAGCCACCATGTCATATAAATTCTGTTCCATATAATCCCCAACAAGCCACCATAACGTATAAATTGTGTTCCATATAATCCCCAACAAGCCACCATAACTTATAAATTGTGTTCCATATAATCCCCAACAAGCCACCATGTCATATAAATTGTGTTCCATTTAATCCCCAACAAGCCAGCATAACTTATAAATTGTGTTCCATATGATCCCCAACAAGCCACCATGTGGTATAAATTGTGTTCCATATGATCCCCAACAAGCCACCATGTGGTATAAATTGTGTTCCATATGATCTCCAAGAAGCCATCATGTCATATAAATTGTGTTCCATATAATCCCCAACAAGCCACCATATCATATAAATTGTGTTACTAAACTATAAAACAAGAAACAGAAATTGAACACACACCTACCACATTTAATGGTCTTGAACCACGATGTAAGTCCTCTTGCCACTTTCACACAGTTCTTTCTTGGAGGAGTAAAATAGTACTCTCCGGGTTTCAGTAAATAGACTTGACCCAGGACATACTGGTCAAAGGGAAACTTGGGGATGACACATCTGTTGAGATTGGTCAGGCTGACCAGGTTTTCTATGGGGTAGTCATATTCTTCACTGACTGCCAGGAACCTTACTCTGGTTCCTTTGGGCACAATCAGCTGCAGAAATATGTACACCATTCTTTATTCAAGGACATATCACATTCAATATTGACAGACATACATAATTAATTCTGCCCCGTTCACCAGCCGTAAAACTCCGATGGAAAGTTCTGCTTCTTCATCCGTCTGCGGACTCAAGTCTTGGTCCTGAATTTTGCCTATTTGTATGCAGACTGTTGGTTCCTTACCTCTCAGTGAATGCACTACGACTTGGAAAGATGCCGCCCCTCCCCAACTCCTACGACATGCTTTTTGTAGAGGCTTTGGGTCTATTCTTGTTTCCCCCACAGTGGGGCCACGAAACCCACAAGAAGAAATTATTAATTCAAAGACATACATACTTAATTATCTAGATTTCTTGTTCAGCGAGAAGGTTTAAGTTATCACAATTGAAGTCACCGCACAGCGGGCATTCCAATGAATGTGCAGTCCTCAGATGCAGCAGCTACTCCAAAGTTCATTTGTGCCTGTGTGTTTTGTTTCCCGCCGTCGTTCTGTTGATGAGAGCTAACCACCGCAATATTGTTTGTTTATTGTAGGTGGTCCTGTAAAGCTCAAGTATACTTTATGTCTTTCTTATCCTTCTCTATCCTTTTTTTGTTTTGTTCCATCATTTACTTGTTTGTTTTGTTTTAGACACACACAAAAGGCCCTGAAATGCCTGAAAGGGTCACGTTCAGTGTTTACATTAAACACTCGTCCACTATGGGAATATCTCACACCACCCTTAGGGAGTCTGGTTACTAAGTAACTGGAGATAGCTCCCGTATATAAATGTTTAATACACTTAATGTTGCTCATGTTGTATTAGCATCCGAAAAAGTATTTTTTTTTTTAAAAACTAATTGTCAATCATTTAGTCTGTAATCACCGAGAGGAGAAATTGGAAGGAAAAAAAAAAACGAAACAAATAGCTAGCTCTAGCTACCACCCGCCATTGTAAAGCGACTAAATGCTTTCACCGGGCCTGAAGTTCGCGGGTTAAAATCCGCATCCAGCCAGATTTTGTTTTTCAAAAACGGCCTTGGCTCATAGATCACCCAGCCTAAGATGCGTATCAGGTAAAGTCCTTGGAAGTAAAAGCGACCGGCAGGATTTTGACCACATCATCCACCGAACGCCGACTGATCTATACATTATAGGCCAAGTACTATCCAAATACATCTAATTGCGTGGAAACGGTTTCTTTAATTACTTAGTGGATAAAGTATTGTCACTAAATATCAGTTAATTCAGTCCAGTGTTGAACTGAGAATCGACATCATAGCACTCGGGACACTCCCAAATGAGCCCAGTCCCCAACTTCAGCAGCAAGCGAAGAGTTTCAGTTCCGATGGCACCAGTAACTGTTTGATTGTGTATCCGTCTCGTGGTTAAGTGTTGAGCGTCGGTCAGATCCGCTGGTAACCCTTCTCAGTCCATAAATAATCGCATCCCCTCCTCAGTAAATCCCTCATCGTGTGTAGCGACGGACGACATCAGTTCTATAGCTATTTATTCTTCCTCTTTCCCTTTTTCGCATAGTGCTCTTGTGTGTCTGAGCGCTCGCGACTTTCTACACATTGCAGAGTTAGGAAGCACAACTGAACTGATTAATCTAAAATAACGGTTACCTTAGGAGACAATGGGTACACTGTGGTGCCAATTGGGATGGTGATGGTTATGTAATCAGTGTTAGCTTCTCTAACAACAACAATGCCATAGTCGGAGTCTTCCTCAATGACTTGATTGTTGTAGCTGACGGACTTCCATTTAAACTGAAAAAAAAAGGCAGATACGTGAGGAAATACATTTGGAGCAAGTATACTGAATATTTGGTATTTATCTCTTCAAAACATCACTGGCGGTACTGAAATGACAAGAAAATGGCTTCGGAAGTAAACTGTGACGACAAAATTGGCAGGTACAAAGGGTAATGAGATGTCCTGATAGAATTTTTGTCAGAGAGAGAATTGATTACAAGTATTTGAAGGTATATTTTTGAAGCCTGTCATTAAAAAGGAAGAAACTGGAGCAAATCGAGACAACTTTACTTTTGAAGAAGATAGATGAGGAAAAAGACAAATGATAAACACTTTTGCCCCATGTAGAATAGTATTTGCATATAACATGATTGATAGTACACGAGTTAGAAGGGTGAGTACTGATATGATGACCAAAGTCGCAATGATGCATGAGCTATAAAAAGAAGGAGGAAGAGAAGAAAAAGAAAAGGAGAAGAACGATGGCAGAAGGAGAAAGAAGAAGAGGGACAGAAGCAGCAGGTGACAATGAAAAAAAAAAAAAAAAAAAAAATCAACGATAATAAATGACAACAACTAGATATTTTCCTTCCATTTTAACATTTAAAATATAGATTTTTTTATTTTAATCTGTTAATGTTTGTTAATGTTTGTTATATATTTGTTAATGTTTGTTATATGTTTGTTAATATTTGTTATATGTTTGTTATATGTTTTTAATGTTCGTTATATGTTTGTTAATGTTTATTATTGTATGTTATATGTTTGTTAATGTTTGTTATGTGTTTGGTATATGTTTGTTATATGTTTGTTAATTTTTGTTTATGTTTGTTATATGTTTGGTAATGTTTGCTATTTGTTTGTTAATGTTTGTTATATTTTTTTTATATGTGTGTTGATGTTAGTTTTATGTTTGTAAATGTTTGTTATATGTTTGTTAATGTTGGTAATGTTTGTTATATGTTTGTTATATGTTTTTTATGTTTTCTTTTCAAGGAAACGTGTACTTTTTACTTTTGCCATAGAACGTCTTTAAGGAGGTGGATTTGGCTCCACTACTGATTTAAATATGTCTTTCTTCATATGTCTGTCTTCATATGTCTGTCTTCAAATGTCTTTCTTCATATGTCTGTCTTCATATGTCTGTCTTCATATGTCTTTCTTCATATGTCTGTCTTCATATGTCTGTCTTCATATGTCTTTCTTCATATGTCTTTCTTCATATGTCTGTCTTCATATGTCTGTCTTCATATGTCTTTCTTCATATGTCTTTCTTCATATGTCTTTCTTCATATGTCTGTCTTCATATGTCTTTCTTCATATGTCTTTCTTCATATGTCTTTCTTCATATGTCTTTCTTCATATGTCTGTCTTCATATGTCTGTCTTCATATGTCTGTCTTCATATGTCTGTCTTCATATGTCTGTCTTCACATGTCTTTCTTCATATGTCTGTCTTCATATGTCTGTCTTGTTTTAATATTACCATCACGTGTACACTTACCTTGACTGGTTTGTCAGTAGAAACATTAGCTACACGGACAGCTTCAGTGATGTCAAATTTAGACAGAATTTCATTTGTCCATGGCATCTCCTTGGCGCTTCCCAACAGATAACCTGTGTCAGCTGCAACTTCTCGGCCATCACCAGCAACCACCCACACCTGGATTATGCAAAACGCTGATGGTAATGAACGAGCTAACGAACGAACAAATGTATTTTTAAAGGGTTAAAACTTGGGCACGCAGGCCCGTCTGACATTCGGCCCTTCTAAGCCCACATCTTTCAGAGTACCAATGCCTGTTATCAATAATGCACGTTATGTATATAATAAAGAAATATACATTATAGAATAATGCATACACACATCGTGTGTACACAATCTTACACACTCAAACACACACACACACGTATACATACTCTTACATTCTCATACATGCACACTCATATAAAGACATACTTAATACAGACATACACGCATCTACATACATACACAAACATAAAACACACACATACAAACATATGCATACATGCATAAAAATAAAACACACACACACATACATACATACATAGACACATGCACAAACATAAAACACACACACATACATACATACATACAGAGACATACATGCACACACACATTCCATACATACACACCTACACATGCATACACACATATACAGACAACCACATACGCCCACAACCACAACCACACATATACATACACATACACCCACATACATACATACATATACACACATGCATAATACACACATCTATACATACACTCACATCTTCAGAGACATACATACTTGCATACATACCTAAATACACACACACATACACCCACATACTTACACAGCTACATATGCATGCATGCATCAACAAACATGCATACATATACGCATAGATACATACTTACATGCAATCATACATATACACATATACATGCCCACACGCATTACATACATACACACACATGCATGCATATAAACATATACAATCACACGTACAGATACCCACATACATACACACATGCGTACCTGCATACATACATACTTGCATACATTATATACACACCCACCTACAATCACACATACACTCATATACAATCACACATACTTACAACATACATATACATACATATATCCACACACATACACACACCCACAATCACATACATACACACCCAGATAATACATACATACTTACATACATACACATACATAGATACTTTTATACATACATACACATCCATAATACATACCTACATACTTACACACATGCATACTTGCATATATTCATAAATACACACACACACATACACCCACATACCTACACAGCTACATTTACCTACATACATCCAAACATACTCACTCACATACACACACATACTTACACCCACATACTTACACCCACATACTTTCACAGCTACATTTAGATACATACATTCTCATACATACACATACACAGACATACGTAATACATACATATACGTACACATACACACATACATTGACATGTATACATAAATAAATAGGCTACTCCTACATTCATACAAAATACAAACATACATCCAGACATACATAAACAGACATACATCCATACATACATTAACACACATACATACATACATACATACATACATACATACATACATACATACATACATACATACATAGATACATACATACATACATACATACATACATACATACATACATACATACATACATACATACATACATACATACATACATACATACATACATACATACATACATACATACATACATACATACATACATACATACATACATACATACATACATACATACATACATACATACATACATACATACATACATACATACATACATACATACATACTTACATACATACTTACATACATACTTACATACATACATACTTACTTACATACATACATACATACATACATACATACATACATACATACATACATACATACATACATACATACATACATGCATGCATGCATACATGCATACATACATACATACATACATACATACATACATACATACATACATACATACATACATACATACATACATACATACATACATACATACATACATACATACATACATACATACATACATACATACATACATACATACATACATACATACACACACACATACATGCACAAAACATACATGTATACATACATACACATACACATACATGCATACATACACACATCCATACATACACTGACATACTTACACGCATACATATGTACTTGCATACATACCATACATACATACTTGCATACATACCTAAATACACACAAATACACACACATACGTACACAGCGACGTATGCATACATACATCCACCAACATGCATACATACACAAATATATACGCATGCATACATACACACACATAACATGCACGAGATGCACTGAGCAATTCTGTAAGCCTTGGAGCATCATGTATCATGATTTGTCACCAAACACATACACACAGACAGACACACTCACACATAGATATTCAGCAGCCTACGTGATACAGGTCCTGAGGTGGACTAAATATCATGGACCGTGTTGTGTAGAGCAGGCAAATCAGGGAGTGAGAATAAAGAAAGAAGTGATTGCAGAAAGGATGAGAGTAGACCGTCTGAGAAGAAACAGACTAAACACAAATATTGACAACAATGATCCTGAAATTCCGTGCTATAATTGTGGAAGACTTCTTAACTCGAGCCGGTCTTGCTAGTCACACTCGCCATCGTCATGGGCTGTGAATCTTGTGCCTCCTCATAGCGCAATATAAAACTATCGCCTGGAAAGACGAAAAAGAACCAACCAATCAATTGCCTACTTCTTTAATCAAATTACGACCCACAGAAACGATGACAGGTTATGTTATCACAACTGACCTCAATGAAAATTTGGCATTCCCATGATTGCTCAGTCCTCCGATACAGCAACCACTCCAAGGTACCTCTACTGATTGTTTCCATGAGGTGTTGGTTGATTTGAAAATAATCTATCTCGGCTTCGAAGGAGAAGCAATCATGTTAGTGTCAGAGATTCGTCATTATCCACTAGCTTAGTCCACACATCTTTGATGACATCCGCTCTCTGCTTCTTCCGCCTGACTTGTTGCTTTGCATTGCCTTTTGGTCCACTAGCTAATTACCTTTTTTGCCACGTGTGTAGATCCAGGTGAGAGAGGTTAAGTGCGATTTTATTGCTTTTCCACCCATTCAGATTTGCTAAATTATGTTCACGGAGTGTAACACATCATGTAGAACTTACCTCATATGAAAGGGACTTTCCAACACCATAAACAGCTTCTCCATAGTAGATTCTGGTCTCTTCTTTTCGCTTTTTGAGGATATCATACACGTGTTGGACATCGTTACCGCTGATGCCCAGATCGTCGTACTGCCAGACGAGGAAAGAGAGATGGCGACATTGATCTTGATGTTAAGACTTAATCTCACTACTAACCATGCTCTGTGAAATGCCTGTCTCATCCATTCCTACCTCATTCAATTATATGTCACTCCCTTCTCATCCTCTCTCATTCAATCCCATCTCTTCTTATCCTATCACAACGCATGTCAGTCCATCTCATCTTATCCGATCACACCCAATGCCATCACGTCTCCTCTCATCTCATCTCAGCCTATCACATCTCCTCTCATCCTATCACATCTCCTCTCATCCTGTCAAATCTCCTCTCATCTCATCTCCTCTCATCTCCTCTCATCCCATCTTCTCTCATCACATCCAATGCTATCTCACATCCTCTCATCTCATCTCCTCTCATCCTATCGCATTCCATGCCATTTCATCTCCTCTTCTCCTCATCTCCTCTCATCCCATCTTCTCTCATCACATCCAATGCCATCTCATATCTTCTCATATCCTCTCATATCCTCTCATATCCTCTCATCTCCTCTCATCTCATCTGATCACATCCCATGCCATCTCACTTCCCCTCATTCTATCACATCTCATGCCGTCTAAACTCCCCTCATCTTCTCTCATCTCATTTACTCTCCTCTGATCTTATCACATGCAATCCCATCTCATCTCTCTCAGTTCCAACTTATATAACCCCAACCCATTTAATCTTATTCCATCCTTTCTAATACCATTTCCTCCCATCGCATCCTATTGTATCTTACTCATGCTATCGCAACCCATACCATATCACCAGACATTTAATATTATGTAGTGTAGTTTTCATGTAGTGAACTTGAATAAAGCGGACACAAACAACACATTGCGCAATTTATTGCCTGGCATATTTCGCTTCAACATCTGTAAAAGTCAAAGTGTATGTGTCGCAACACCAAGAACACAATATATAAAACGTTGATTAGGCCAGTCGTGTTATATGGCTCTGAAACTTGGATCACAACTAAAAGAGATAAATCCTTATTACAGTTTTTCGAAAACAGTCTTACGACGAATCTTTGGACCTATCAAAGATGCAAACATCGGTGAATGGAGAGTGAGAAGGAATAATGAAATTAATAATCTGTTTAAATCACCACTGATCACTGGCATCATGAGAGCTTATAGAATGAAATGGTTTGGACATATTGAAAGATTATCAGATGACAAAGAAGTTAAAAACTGTATACACAAGGAAGATGAATGGTCAGTAGAACACGAGGTAGACCAAGAAGACGATGGAGAGATAATATCCAGAACAGATCTACAAACACTTGGTGTCACCAACTGGAAAGAAAAGGCCAACCAGAGAGATGAATGGAGGCGAGTAATATCTGCAGCAATGAACCTCAAGGGCTCGGAATGCTGAAGAAGAAGAAGACATAAAAGAAATTGTTGTCTACTAGCGTCTTCAAGCTGAACAGAGCATAGAAAATGTCTCGCTGGACTGTCCTCTCCTGGACTGGATGTGAAAACATATAACAGACGCTCAGCTGACATCCCAGTCTTTGGCCCATAATAGATTAGGCATGTGAATTAAGATGGCTGAAGGAAAAATAAAACAATATGAATGTGCTCTTGGGACACACGCGCTTACCGAGTATCCCAGTTCCGTGTGTTCAAAGATGGACTCTGGAATCGCGTGTTGTCGAGTCAAGGCAATTGTGTTGATGGCAGGGAAGTCAAAAGGATGCAGCGGCTTCTTGAATGAGTACCCTCCACAGTCAACAGGGACATATGGCTTGTGTCGGAGTTTTTGAAGTTCCTGTAGACAGCAAACATAAATTATATGTCAGCCATTTGTGTGTGTGGAATTTTTTTCTGCACACACACAACAACAGCAACAACAATTCTAATATTGCCTTACAACTTTTGTGGTGTCAAAAAAGGGGGTGGGGATAATGGAGGTAGGACTTTCAACTTTTGAAGATTTTAGGGCCTCATGGATAATGCCATCCTCACATATTGTTCGGGCTAAGATTTTAAATGCACCCCCCGACAGAAACAAAAACCGTGACCTTACCGAGGATTTGAATCAGGGTCTTCCGCATGAAAACCCTGCAATCTAAACCGTCTGCCAACGGCTCCTTTCTTTCAATGGTTAAAACCTCAATCCCTTCAGTATGAGACAGGCAATGCAGTTCAAGTAATCAATAACACATGCACGCAACGGCCAAATTTTGTTTAAGGGTTTTAATCCGCATCGAGGAGATTTTAAAACGTACATTGGACTCCAAATTGTCTTCGTCTCATGTAGTTGACGGGTTCTATTTTACGAGTCAATGTCTTGATAACCATAAAATAACTACACCACAATCATCATTTTTCCCTTCTTTGTTGTGTATGTTGTGTTTTGTTTCTGGTTGTTGTTTGCTATAGAAAAGGATATCGTAGAATCAACGAATCTGTCCGGATGACAGTCATCAGTAGTCAGTAATACCTTCTAAATGTGCTTCTTCTTCTGGTGTCGTGGCACTATCACCGCACTGTAACTCAACACAGTGGTTTTTCTGTATTTGTCCTGCACTTCTGGGTTGACTTTAGACATTATGGTTTTGTTTATCTTTTTGCAGGATTCAGTTTCGCGGTCTATCCACTTCCTCCTCGGTCTTCCCCTTTTCTCCAGGTGTTCCATTGTGGGAGGTCTCAAATACACACTGGTCTAGCTACATTCTCACTAGATGACCAAATCACGTCATTCTCCGCCTTTCAATGTAATTCAACCTCCTCTCTAACGCGGATGTTCGTGACAATGTCCTTTTTTGTATTGTTGATTACTTTTCGAAGACATTGGATTTTGCATATGTCCAGGTTTGGGTTGAAAATGGAAAAAATACATTAATAATGCGATTTTTGCATTTTTGCAGTTAGATATTTATCTGTCTCTGGTGATTCTCAAAATCAAATATATATATGAAAATAAGCTTACCTGCCATAAGACCCAAAGTCTGTCCATGCCCGAGTGCACAATTATGAAGACAGGATCAAAAGCAGAGTAGTCGAGCGTGGACATAGAATATGTACCGGTCCCTCCAATGAAGAAGTGTATTCTGTTGTGAAGGAACTCCAGAGAAGTTTCGAAGTGGCAGTAGTCTTCCTCTTCCAGAGCATCAAGTGTCAGGTCGTACAAGATGGTGTTGCCTCCGGATGTGTTGGCGCTGAACAGTGCATTGAGGGGGCTCCTTGTTATGTTCTAAACATTGACAAAAGTGAAAAGACAAAAGAATATTATTAAAGTACATTATTTATAATAATCATAATTAAGAATGATGTCCAATTCCCAATTCCTTTTAAGAAAAAAATCAAAAAAAACTAACTACGTTTAACCTGCTGCTAGGTAGCCGAAGCTGCCAACAGTCTCCCGGCTATATTTGTGGTCTTGTTTATTTGCGCCACTTTCGTGGACTGTTGCTCATCTAATGAACGCGGGGACCAGATGGCAAGCAATCAGCCAAAGCATCAGGGGGGGGGGGGGGGGGGGAGAAGCATGGACAAAGCAGATGTCATCAATTTTGTACGGACTGGGTTAGAGGATTATGACCAATCGCTGATACTGACATGATTGCGTGACCTGGAAGTAAAACCTGGTAAAACACGTCTATACCGCTTCCGATGCCGAGACAGCAGACATTGTAACCAATTTGTTACTGGAGCATACAGCAGAGTTACCCTGGAGTGGTTGCTGCACCGGAGAACTGAACATTTATGCCCAATGTGCAATGACGTCGGTTCTGATAACTAAGCATCAGCTAATAACAGCTACTATGGCAGCAAGGAAGTCACTAAGGATAGATTCACAGAAAACAATAACATTTTTAGCAGGTATATGATTAGTAAATATAAGAACGTAACAAGAAATTGCACTGAAACGACATTCTAAAAAGTAACTCCTAAATCACATTTAAAAATGTTATGTGAATATATAAACATGGACAATAGCTAAATCAGCAACACAAATAAATGACGACTTTCATATAAAAAAAGCAGGTGTCTGTGGAGGATAAAGGGAGGTAAATACTATGACAGAAAGGCTAATAAACCATTCGAGCAGACTTAAACAAACACTAATTAACACTCAGTTATGGACCTTGGTGCTGTGTAAAGATCATACTGAGAAAAGTTAACACGGTGGAACTCCAATTTTCGCACATGCTATTTTTCGTCTCTTTTTAAAAAAAAAATCTTCTTGTTTTTTTTTCCATTAAAATTTGTGTTTAATATTGACACGAAAAGTCAATATTCGTCCCTCCTCCGATGTAGCCGGTGTTAATACGCTTAATAACTGTAGCGATGTTTGGGTGCCATTTCTCGATTAAATCCTATATTTCTGCCCAAGTGGACAGCCATTTCTTAATTTCAGCACTTAGAACCGGCCTATTATCATCCTTTTCTTTTTCCTTGTCTGATAATTCGCCCGCCACGCCAGAGGTGGGATCACTACTGACTTTTCGGGTGAATATCAAACACATATTTGAACGGAAAAAACAACAGGATGAAGGTGAAAAAAAAATGTGCCTTGGATGAATATTAGAGTTCCACTGTACTAAGTGTATTTGGTTCATTCTGTATTTTATATTGTTTTAGCAGTTAGGCGAATTCTTCAATAAATCATTGTATATCTTCTTTTATCCTACTGCTTATGCTGCACATCGTAATAGAGAGGAGTTACATGTAGTTTCATGTCTTTAGCGATTATACTTCCTCCGCCCACTTATTTCTTTGTCGGCCTCTTGCCTTGTTGCCTGCTGTTCTCATGCAGTAGGCTTTAGCTGCTGGATAAATTTGTTCCGTTCTGACTACATGGCCAAACCATTTGATTCTTTAATTTTCTAAAAAAAATCATTCACTAGTACTGTGCCTACTATTGTTCTTAGTTTGTCATTTGTAACTGTTTCTTCTCTCTCCCCCCCCCCCCCCCCCCCCCCCCGACCCTCCCCCTTTCCGCCGTATTATACATTTTATCTGACATGGTGTAATTGTGCGTTGATGTTTTTCTAGGACTGCCCATGTCTGGTATTATTAGCACAACGTTGGTTGCAAATAGGGCATCTGTCTGTTACTTTTTGGTGTCCATTTTGATGTTTCGGTGTCTCAAAAGTGGTAATTTATGTTGACCTTCTGTATTCTATGTTCTATTTCTATGTCCAATCCTCCATCATCTGCGATTACACTGTCTAGGTTACTCTTAGCTTGCTTCAATGTCTGTCCTTTAACAGACATGATTTGTTGAACTGGTGTTCAACTGGTATTGTACGTATATGTATTTTTCAACGGTCCGAAGGAAATGGTGCAGTGAGAAAGGTAGAATGGAACTCTTCGCTGGATGCTGAATATGGGGACAGAGCGCATATGGGAAAATCCTGAGTGCTATAATGTCAATTAACTCGGCTCAACTCCTTTGCTACTATCCTACCTGGCCGGCAAAGGTGATGAAGTAGGTGCTGAAAGGATTCTCATGGCTGTCATCGGTCAAGAATGGAGGCAGCGCTCGTCCAGGGGCAGTCCAGTCCCAGTAGGGAATTCCAACAATTGAGCCGTGCTGTTTCAGAGCCTGCTCAAACTGCACCGTGAACAGACGATGCCAGTGGGGGAACACTGGCATTCCTGTGGCGAATCAAAGATAATTGTATAAACAAATAATGATAATGTATTGTTAAAAGTGTGATTATACATATGATAAAAGTATCTTAAATTTATGATTTGTGCCCTTTTAATAATCCGAGGCTGTTAAAACAAATAAACTATTTGCTACAGTAACACCGTTCATTGCTTGCATCATTCAGTAGTGTTTTAGCATACTACACATCAGTCTAAGTGGCTATTGCTCAGTGGCTCATGAATCAGTAACGAATAAACATGGACACAGTCAATGCCTTTCCAGCCAACTGTGAAATGTATGATGAGATTAGTGATAATCTTTCATTATGCTGTCCCAAAACGTTGATAGGGGCGGGAAGATTTTTAAAAAAAAAATGGTATCAAGAGATCTAACAAAATTTGCTGTGACTGCGTTTAGATACCACCACCATTGCCACCACTATCGAACCCTCCCCCCATCATTATCATCACTCTTCTACAACCACCACCAACCCTCCCACAACAACCATCATCACCAGTTATTACCATCATCCTTACAATCACTATCCATCTGCATCAACGCCCCCTTCCTTTCCACCCCTTCCCTTCTTATTTCGTTCGTTTTTTTTTTTGCCAACGAAAGTTGATCTATACATCCAGTGTTGTCTTTTGTATGCGTTTCGCTGTCTCGTTCAGTTCATTCGATGGTCCAGGCTGTTTATTTTTCGCTGTTATCTCTCAACAGGGTAACGAGCTGCTATAGTGTATCACAACGCGACGACCTTCTCTATGTAGAAAGTGATGTTTTTTTAGGAAAGGGGTGGGGGTGGGAATAAGAAAATAAATGTTTCTTCAGCAGAAAGTGATTATTTCTCCAAACATAAAATAATTATTTCTCAAAACAGAACATGATCAATGCCCAAAACTAAAGGTGTCTATTTCCTTAAAGAGACAAGAATTATTTCTTTAAACAGTCAGTAGTTAGTTCTTAGAACAGACAAAGGTTAATTCCTCACACACACACACACACACACACACACACACACAAAACTAAAATGGAAATAACTATTTCTCTGAAAGGTAGAATATCATTTCTCCTAAACAAAACGTCACACTAAAAGACATTCTCAATAAACCTACCATGGACACAGCAAGCATATTTAGTTTCACCCTTCTCTGGACACAAGAACGGAGCTCCGTGGAAGCCGGCTATGGCCTCAAAACCTCCTGGACCACGGTCATTCTGAAGCTCACGTAGAGCCTGTTTCAGGTTCTTGGCTTCTCCCAGAGTCAGTTTGTTTACGTTCTTTCTGAGCAACGAATCTGAACGCCTGGTCACTGGCACACTGACTTCTTGCTGGGGACCTGATTGATAAAACAAAATGAATCTGATAACTTTATTTTGCCAAGTGAGGTGGGGGCAAGGGGTAGTAAGAAACAATTGTACATACCCTCATGTAGTAGTGGTGGTGGTGGTTGTGGTGGTGGTGGCAGTGTTTTTTTGTGTGGATGCACTACGCAGTACCAGTACATTTTCTAAATTAATCAATCCTTATCGCGCCCACATAGTAAAAGTAAAAGTAAAGATCCCTTTTCACGCCTTTCGGCGCATCGGGCATATGGGCAGAGCGTCCCATATTTTTACAGACCATCAGCACTCTGTGGGTAATGTGGTCAGCATTAGGCCGGCTGTCTTTTCTTTCCCAGGACAGCCCATCCTCCCACATAAATGAGAGATAAACTGTCGCCACTCAATTCGATCGTGAGCTACCCTCTCTATCTCCAGTTTTGTCCTTCGTGTAGCCTTGAGTTCAGCCTCAAGAGTTCGCCTCCAAGTCCCTTTAGGTCTGCCCCTTCCTTGCTGTCCTTGAGGTGTCCATTGCATTGCCTGTCTCTGCCGTCTCTCTTTCTTCATTCTCAGGACGTGTCCAATCCCCCTCCATCTTCTTTTTTTGATTTTATAAATTTTCATATTCTAAGTCTGTCATTTGTTGTAATCTAAAATTGCTGATTGTATCTTTCCATGTTAACCCCAACAATCTTCTGAGAAGTTTTCCTTGAAAACATCTGAGCATTTTCTAAGGAAGCATTTATTCATCATAACAGACCCTCTGGCTAGAAAAAAAGCCTTGGTTGTGGTAGTGGTGGTGTTAGTAGTAGTTGTAGTAAAGGTAAATTAGTAATAGAAGTAGTAGTAGCAGCAGAAATAGCAGTCTTCTTCACTTCTTCACTTCCTCTTTTACCGCTGTGGGTGTCGAGGGAGATATAAGGTTCTGTCTCTAGCTCTTCTGGCCGGCTCGACCATAGGCACATCGTGCTGTTGTAGAGTTTCTCTGATGTTATCCTTCCATCTTGTTGTTGGTCTACCTCGTGCTCTACGACCTTCTTCTCTTTCCATGTATGCTTTGTATGGCATGGTGTCACAAGGCATTCTTTCTAATTGGGCAAACCATTTCACCTGCTTTCTTCGTATGTAATTTAGAATTGATTCTGTGCCGACTTTTTCTCTTATGATCTCATTCCTGATCTTATCTCTTATGGTCACTTCTACAGTCCTTCTTAGACATCTCATCTCCATGGTTACTAACTTTCTTTTATAGTTTGTTGTGAGTGACCATGTCTGGCACTGGTAGCACAGAGTTGGAATAAATATGCTTTGAATAAGATGTCTCTTTGTGCTGATTGGGATTGTCTTATGCTGTAAGAGGGGGGCTAGCTGTCCCAATACTTGGGCGTGTATATCTCATTGTATTTTCTATAGCATTAATGGTAGAAATTTGAAGATAACTTGTATACAGGTCACCCTATACTTATTCAGTTCCTGTGAAAGTAAAAAATCTCAGCACATGCCCTTTACTGTCCCATTTCCAAATGACGGAACCATCAGTCAGTTTCCGCAAAATTCAGAAAACACGCACACACTGTAAATGCATACGGCGGTCGCTAGAGGTGCCACCACCACAAGTTGCCACCACCACAAGTTGCCACCACCACAAGTTGCCACCACCCCAAGTTGCCACCACCCCAAGTTGCCACTACCTAGTCTCACATTATTTTGTAAGGGTGGAAGGATTCGATAAGAAAAAGAGACTGAGAGAAGGAAGAGATAACAACTTTTATTTGTAAACAACAATGCAAGAATGTGCGACTAGCTAAGACAGATAATGAAAAAGAAAAGGGACCAAAGGAGGTACCAGAAACTCACCAGGGGCACACACATGGATAGTGAGACTAGAATAGAGGGAAAAGGGTCGACGAATGAGTTTTACCTGGACAGAAAATTGCTAGTAATGGAAAGGGGATATCAGAGAGGGTAATATAGAGATATTAGAGATAAGAAAGGAGCTAAGAGGTGAGAGAGAGAGATGAAGAAAGAGATAAGATGGAGAGATATTAGAGAGATAGCAGTAAGAGCTAAGGGAGAAAGGGGAAAAGAAAGGGGAAAAAATACAGTCATGAGGCAAAGAGAAAAAGAGAGTGGAAGAGAGTAGAAGAGGGAGTGGATGAGGGCTGGAATGGGAGAGAGAAAGGGAAAATCGACGCGAGAAGAGATAGAAAAAAAAAATCTAGGCGGTGAGGGAGGGTAAGACAAAGAAAGAAAGAGAGATAGATACTGGACAGAGAAAGTAAAGACAGCTAGATACAAAAAGAAACAGAAAGCTGGAGAAAATGTAGGAGAGAGATGGAACCTTTTGCCCAGAAATAAAATTTAAAAAATAAAAAATGTATTTCTTTCTTAGTAAACATTCTTTAAAATCGTTAAAAACAGACAATAGACAAACATTGACACTGACCGCTTCGGATCCCAGGGACAAACCGGACACTTGGTGGCTTGATGAGATAGTTGTCCAGTTCCGTTCCATTGACAGCCACAATGTGATCCACAAAATGGTAATCAGAGTCAGCCTGCAGGTGAAGCTTTTGAAAAACGTCTGTGACTTCATACTTGAACCGACGATCGAATGCCCATGGCATCTCCAGAGGACCTCCAAGAATCGCGAATGTTCCTGAAAGAAGATGCATTTGTTTACATCGTTGCTGGGACATTTCTGTGTTTCCAGACGATAGTGTTATGCTATAGGGAGCAGAGGCTCAAAGCCCATGGTGATGGCGAGTGGGACTTGCAAGACCCGCTCGAGTTAAGAAAAGTCTTTCACAATTATAGCATGTGATTTAATGGACCTTTGTTGTCATTATTTGTGTTTCGTGTTTCTTCTTCGACGCTTACTATCATCATTTCTGCAATAACCCCCACCCCTCTCTCCCCTCCCCCTTCTCATTCCATTCCTAATGTGCCCTCTCCAATTACCCCTGTCCGCGACCTTTTATTTCAACGAATCCACCTCAGTGCCTGTATCATTCATGTTCCACTTGGATACATCATTGTTTCGTAGTAGAGGTCGACATTGACATCCTCTGCCCATCTGTAATTCACCGTAGAGGATGTCCTTAGAGACTCTACCGTCCTCCATTCTCACGGTGGGACCAGCCACATGACCCTTCGTAGACTGAGCATTGAGAAAACTGTTGTAATTCCGGCGCTTTCCAATACCGCAGTGTTTGTGATCTTGTCTTTCCACATAATGATAAGTATTCTTTTTAAGCATCGCGTGCTAAAGATAAGAGATATAAACTAAGAGCTATAAATAAACCCCTATTCAAAGATCTTCATTTCTTCTCCCGGTATGCAGGTTGTAGGGGAAAAGAAAAAGCAGCCGCATCGACTGGTGCTGCACCAATGGGTGGAGATTTGATGGAGCATGTGAATAATGCTGAAACGCGAATAGATCAATATGGCTTGGAGAGAATGCTACAGCGGGTAGTCACCAGAATATGTGACTGTCACTTCACACTCAGAGGAACATCAAGACGGATATACAATCAAATTGATTTTGTTATCAAGAGAATAGTGAACTCTTCTATGGCTGCTGAAAGTGAAGACAGCGCACATGTGGGAATCTCTGGGTTTTGAATCTAATCAAACTCAGCTTCTTCTGTTGTTTGTTGTTCATCACCATCTTCTTCATTTAGCAAATCATTGTAGAAGCCGCTAGAAAACCTCATTGCAAGCCGCTAAAAACCTCAATGATAGCCACAAAAAGATCCATACTCCTCATCCTCCTTCTTCTTCTTCTTCTTATTGTTATTATTATTAGTCTGCTACAGTTGCAACTAAAAATTGCGGGGAAACAAAAACATCAAAGTGAATAGGATATTATTTATTTGACAGCAATGATCCAATCTTCGGTTCCGTAGAAAAGAGTTTAGCCACTGGGATACCAAAATGTTGAGCATCCATCAAAAGTGACGAGGGCCACTCTTTCCTTTATCAGTCATGAAACTACAACAGATGTCTGTGAAGATATCATATAATGATGATAACGACGACAACAACAACAACGACCACAACAACAACTACTGCTACAACTACTAAGACTGTTACAACTACTCCTAGTACTCCAATTACTATGACTACTAACATTCTATCTACTGACCAGCAAATTCGCAGTGGTTTTTGGAATCACAGAGGTCAAAGGTGATGTCTGCACTGGTCCCAATGTTGTGAAGTAGGAATTCGGCAAAAATGCGATCATGAGACCTATGTTCGTCAATGATATCACCAATTCGGAGATAGTGTGACCGTGGAAGTTCAGGTTGTCATAATGGTAGTGCAATCTATGAAAAAAAAAATTGAAACATTTTTTTTTAAAAATAACAAAGACATAAATAATGCACTGTCTAGGCATTCTGCTGAGAATCCATGGACCCGGCTGCTTCAAGATACCAGCTAAGTGATTTTGTGTATTTGTGTAGTATTGTTTGATTTGTATGTGCTAATGAAGGCTCCATAGCCGCAACGTTCACGTTTTGTTTGTATTTGTTAAATTGTGAAGCTTGTTAATATACTTTCGTTCGGGTTTATATCTTTTCTAAACAATGCACTAGACGTTTATTTCCTGGCGTATTTCATCGCATCTCGTCAGTCGAAACCACTAGTTACATCAGCGTATAATGAAGCACAAATATGAATTCTTTCCACTAAAATATACAAATCACAACTCTTTGGTTATTCAGAACGTAACACCACCGGAAATTTCTGGATACTTGATTTTACCACAGCAATTGAAGTTTACTGCATTACCCTGAGTTCTATGGCCCATTGTGTATGTGTGTGCGTGCGTGGGATTGAGTGGGGGGGGGGGGGGGGGGGGGGGTCTCTGCCTCCTGACAAGCATGTCGTAAAACTTGGCCTAATAAGCGGTGCCTCTTTCGAAGTCAGAGTTCATCTGCAAGGAAATGTAAAGATAAACTGCTCGATGGTGCAGCGTGGTGACCGG